TGTGGATAGCACCGCCGGGCTTCTGGGAGGATGAATGAAGGCCAGTTCCTTCGTCGGTTGTCACCGTTACTGCTGTATCAGCTTCCAGCAGAATGAGCTGTCTACTCTTGTCAGCGATTTCTGCGTGCTTAAATTCCACCTCCATCTGCAAGGACTCGAGTAGGGCCTTCAATTCGCCTAATTGTCGTTCCGTGGTCACAAGTGCTCCTGCAAGCCGCACGCGACAGGCTTCGCAGTCGGGACAGGTCACGGATGAGACTGAACTGCATGGGCTCGGCACGGGCCAGGGCTGCGATGAAACTAACAGCGGAAACACAGCAGGGATTCCAGGGAAGAGTTTCGTCGCTCTCAGCCTTCACACCAGGCTGACCCTCGTTTGAGTCGGAGACCTCATTGAGGATCGTAGTCTTCCGGTCCGCGGCGACACGTCTATAGGCTTCTATACTGGCCTGTAACTCAGTCATGGTGTGTTGAGGACTGAAGACCTTCCTTGGCCAGCACATTCCCATCGAGTGTCCTGCCTACAAAGGTAGTGTTCTGAAGCAACAGTTCACTGACTCTGTCCAGTTCATCAAAGGATGCCTGGAGATTGGCTAGTTCTGACCGTCCCAACTCCGGTTTGTGTTGGAGCGAGATGTTGGTCAACTTAGCCTCAGCCAGAACAGTATCTTTCTGAGTCAAAACAAAGCTGACATTCTGTTGGAGACTTTTATACTCCGTCAGAGTGTTGCGAAGGCCAGCCTGCTGTATCAGTCAGTGGACCCCGCGGAGGCTCTTAATCAATCAGAACATCCGTCTTCCCGGATTCTTTCGCAAGGCACTCAGCCTTCAGGCTATCCACCTGACCTACCAGTTCTGTCATGCGTTCGTTCATGGGGGAAAGGCAATGGTCCGGTTCCATTCCTCCTCCTCCTGATTGGTCTTCAAGGCCAGTACCGTGGTCAGTCGCTGTAGATCAGTCTGACACGCAGGCTGCACAACCTGTAATACTCTGAGACGATCAAGAGCGGCTGCGAGCTGTCCACTCAGGAGCTGCGCCCTCAACAGTTGGGCTTTTGAACACGAAATAGAGCTTTGCAGCTCCGCAGCTCTTCCTGGTATATTCATCAAAGTGTGATTCGTCTCCTGGGAGGATGGACAAACACCCAAATCTGGCGCAGACGTTTCTGTTGTAAGGACTGGTTCAATGATCGGACGGAAAACCTGGTCCTCAGCTAATTGTAGTGTAATTTGTTAGACACGTTTAATTAAGTTAATTGTTCCTGTACATATCCCATAGCCTGATGAAGAGCCCCGAAACTTTTCTCATTAAAGAATCGATTTTCCCAAAGAAGTCTTTCCCTTCTCAATTAAATATCTTGGGATGGCCGTATTTAAACACATAGTTTATTCTGTACAGAGGGATTACAGAAAAGATAGGAGGAAGTTGACTGTCGGACGAGAGGGGTAGAATCCAAAGTGTAGTCAGCGCGGGAATTCACACAAGCGTCTAGGGTAGTCTTTGTGTGAGTCAGCCTCGAGAGGGTGATTAGCCGGACCAGGAAAGCTGGCATTAGTTTGTGCGCACGTTAGCCACCGTGGTAAATCAAGCGTTGACGCAGTTTGCGGCACATGTGATTGGCTGTCCAGAGCGGGGGTCGGGACTTGCAATCACCTGTGTGGAATGACGCTGGTGGAAAGCGCTAAAGGTTCACTACAGTTCTTTTCAGCTAGCCGAAACGAATAAAGCATGCTATCCGATCGGGAGCCAGACGTCAC